CGGCTGGCGGGAGGCCTGGGGCAGGGGCCTGGCGGGCACCTTCCCCGGCCTTGGCTCGCCCAGGGGGCTTACGGCAGGGCAGGTCCCGTCCTGGGGCAGCTCCCCGGCCACAGCCACCCCCAGCCTCGGCGCTCAAGGCTGTGTCAATCTCACCTGAAGAAGTGAGGCTGTAAATTGCAGCGGTTCAGGAGCTGCTTCGGTTAGACTTCATCTGTCCACGCAGCAGGGCCCGGGACAGAGAGCTGCGGGACCGTGGCTGTGCTTCAAGATGTGGCTGGCTAATACCTCTATATCCTTTACTACTGCTCTGCAGCTTTTGTTATTGCTATCTTTATACCTATACAATCCTCACAGCACCTTTATTCTCCCTGTGCACCTTTCTGTATCTGTAGGTACCGCAGAGGCAGCTGTGAAGCAATGCAAATAGGTGAAGTTCAAGGGCTGTCTGATCGAGGATCTTGACCTGTGTACTAAGCACACTGAAGATCTGGCTCATTCCTGAGTTGCAGCTACATCTGTGGTCATGCGAAGCCTTGTACATATGTGTGAGCCGGCATGTGTTCAATAGTCCACATCTTTGCTGGAGCAGTGTCCTGCTTTTTAATCAGGATAGAGAAGAAATGAGCTATAGAGTGCTGAGAGGATAGGATGAGTGCTCCTGCGTGTTGCATTTCTCATTTACATACCTAAGAGTTTATTCCAAAATCAATATTCACAACATACCTTTTAGGAGATCACATATAGTCAAGGAGCTGGCAAGCAAACAAACAAATGACTATCCACTGAGAAAGGAGGTGAGCAGTTGGTATTCTCATGAATCACTGCTTCCCACAGCAAACAATATTTCACTTGTCCTGTTACTGTGATACTACTTTTTGTGACATCCACCCAAGAAGTCAATTACAGTTAACTGAAAAGGTAAATATAACAGACTCATGTATGAAACGCTGTGTTGGCTTAATACATGCATCGTGAGTCTCTCCTGGCATTTACTGAGGTGATAAAATACTGGTCTTGAAATAATTTAAACCCCTCCATCCTGTCATACACAAAACCTCCTCTTTTACACTTGGCGAATGATGAAAATCACCGAAGATAAATATCTGAGGTGAGACTATCTGCTTGGGCTAAAGGCAGAAGTTACAGAAGAGAAGTCTCAGTGTCCGCATGAAAGATGTGGGACAAGACAGGTGAGTTCTGAATCAGCCTTCACGTACGCTTACCAACACTGAACTTCATTTTAACTAGTTTCAAGACCCAGTGGTGTTGCTCAGGGTTTCAAGTAAATGTATTATTTTAATGTTGTTGTCAGTCATCAATTATTCAAAGTGCTTGTAGAACATACCGCAGGTGGAAAACAACAGGGAACACATTGTTTAATGCTTGGATGCCTGTTATGTGCATTCTTTGTACCGACACTTCTTTTCTGGTTGCCATGCCTCCAAAAATGCAGAGAAACTGGGTAATACTCAGAGAGAACAGATGTGTTATGACCAGAAGGTTGTAGAGATGATTCTGTGAAACGATGGGACCGTAAAACACTTTCATTAACGATAGATGCCCTCTGCAGAAGGTGTTTTCTCTCTTCCTATTAGAAAAATCGGGGGAAAGAATCTATTAAACTGTAAATAAGCCAATTGCAATCCAGTGGGGCTTTGGTGGAAGTGCACAGTTACCCCTCGGCACGCGACACCCACCACCCCACTCGGGTTTCACGCCGAAAATTTTTGCAGCGTTTCCTCTCTTTTTTTTTAATTCCGCACTACACCTCCCGGCATGCCTCGCTCCCGGCGCGCCTTGCCGTCAGGCGCCGCGCGGGGCCCAGACTACATTTCCCAGCAGGCCCCGCTGCCGGAGGAATACATCACCCAGGCGGCGCCGCGCCGCCCTTCCGCGCATGCGCCGCCGAGGGCTGGGCTGTTGCTCCCTGACGGGTGGCTGCGGCGGGTCCTCGCCATGGAGTCCTACGACGTGATAGCGAACCAGCCCGTCGTGATAGACAACGTGAGTGCGGGCGGCCGCGCGTCCCGGGGGCTGGGAGGGCGGGAAGGGCCCGCGGGCCGCAATCCCTTTGTCATCGGGGACGGCCGCGCCCC